CTACAACAGTCACCAGCAAGTGGCGCGACTCTTCTGTGATCTGGCGACTCAGAATGCCTCCAGTCTCACCTCCGCCATGCCAGCAGCTGAGCTCACGCGAATCTGGTTGGCCCTGATACGTTTACTTCGCTATCCGTCAGCTGGGATCCAGGCAGATGCCTTGACCGGCATGGTAACCCTCACCCGGCAGGGCTTAGGTGCCACAGGGACGGTAAGGATGGACCTGGAGCAATTGACCGGTGTGTTGCATGTGCTTTCCTTGAAGATCAGCGAGGGCGAAAAGATGGGGGAACAGGGCAATCCGTCCCTTTCCAACGATCGCTCGGCGTGGCTTCTCCGGTGTTTGGGACCAATTTCGGGGCAGCAAAATTGCCAAACCTTTGCTGGGTGGTGCCATGGGATGAAAATCTCGGCCAGTTTTGACATTTTGGAGACAGACTTTTCGGGTCAACAGATCCAAGCCCAGCGCTTGGGGAGGGTGAAAGTTCACAGCAAAGAGTTGCTAAGTGAGATCTGCCGCCGTGCGCCGCAGTCAGGGGCCAAAGTTTCCCCTGAGAATTGCAACTTTAGCGCCTTGTGCCGTGTTGCTGGGGGTCTTGTGGCTAGATCCTTGGCTGGAGATGAGATGGACATGGGATCCATGCAGAGTTGGGTGGAGGAGTTTGACAGTGCCATTTCCTTAGTGGAAAGTGCTGCCTCTGCAGCCCTGAAGTTGGCTGAAAAGGATGGGCCTCCACAATTTTTGGAGGCCGTGGTACAGTCCATGCTGGCATTTTTGCAACAGGTCTGTGTAAAAACTGCAGAGTCTCCAACCATTGAACGCCGCAGGTTGGAGTTCTTGTCGGCTTGTAGTGGCTTCTACAAACATTGGCCCCAAGAAGTTCTGCGAGATGTGCTGGCACGTGTGGTGGCACATATTCGTGCAGAGCAAAGTCCTGTGACCAGGGGAATCAAACTCGAACAGAGAGCTTTGGATACACTTGTGGCGATTAGCAAGAGTGGCTCGGTGGAAGTCTCAAGTTTCAAAACCAGTTGTTTAATGGTTTCATTTGGTTTCAAAGACTTCGATGTATCCTGTTCCATCCAAACTCTGCTGATCCCAAGCAGCCAACGCAGATTAGGTTGAAACTGCATGAAACCACCATGCACTTCATCATTTCCATCCCCTCAAATTGGGAAGAGCCACCAGTTGTTGCTTGGGTCAGTGCATTCTTCTTGGAACGCCCCACTCCCCAGTGACACCATAGGCGGAGTCTTGAAAGCTCAACACCTGGAGTCTTTGAACGGCGAATGTAACGACCTGGCACAACGGGTTTCATCCGCTTCAGGGCGAAGCAACTCGTTGCGAAAAGGATAATCAGTGTCATAATCAGTGAATTCTGTTGAAACCAGATAGCCTGGTGCTTCAATGGGCATCACCGCACTACAACTTTGGGCATACCAAAACAGACCAAAAAAGGGGGGGCGCAGGATCGATGGTTTGCGGTGCTGAGGTAAACTCGTTGAAGCGTTGCTGCTGGCAGTGGCGTCATGTGAAGATTTGGAGCGGCCACGAAAGGTTCAATTGGTACATGGTATCATGGAACAGGCCGGGGGAAATTTGTCACATGGGTTTTGGTTCATAATATAATACAGTATAATCATATATATGAAGGAAGTTTAGAAGTCAAACTTCCGACAATATGGACAGATGCAAAGCAGAGATCGGAAGAGTCAGAAAAGAGAAGAGAAGAGAAGAAGAAAGAATATCAAAAAAGAGAAAGTCTCAGAAGAACGAAGATCCAGGTGAGTGAAAAGGTAGGAAAGTCGCTAAACACTGTGGTTTTCCAATGATTTGTGGCTCTGGAGGGTCGAAAAGTAGGCTCGCTAAAGCGGCGGGTGCGGAGCCAGCTGGCCAGATGAGAGATGAAAAATTGCACGCCGTTGTGGCGGAAGCACATTTCGAAGTCTTTATGTACAAAACACACCAACATCGGACCACTTTTGGAAGTTGCGATGTCGAAAAAGTGCACGCCGTTGTGGCGCGAAGCACATTTCGAAGTCAAAAGTGTAAGTTCAGAGATGTTCAGAGCACTTTTGGAAGTTGCGATGTCGAAAAAGTGCACGCCGTTGTGGCGCGAAGATGCGCGAAGCACATTTCGAAGTCAAAATGTACAAAGCACCACATGTTCGCGCCACTTTTGGACGTTCAGATGCCGTTTTGCGTGGCAGGCGCAAGGGATTATGCACCTTGTCAAAAGTGAGCAAAACGTGAAGGTTTTGTAGCATTTCCAAAAACGATGGCAGGCGTGGGACATTTGAAGAGGATCTGCAAAGATGCATTTTCCGTGGCAGGCGCAGTACAAGAGACATGTTCATCAGAGCTGTTAGGAAGTCCGGGCGCTGATTTCCTGAGAGGTGTTGCATTTTGGAGCCTCCGATCTTCAGGTTTGCTGGGATGATTTTGCGTGACAGGTGCAGCACTTCGTATGACCTGGCATCACTTTTTCGTGGCAGGCGCAGTAGTTTAGACAGGTGGAGTGGAAAAATCGCAAACCGCATTGGTATGAGGCTGTCAGCTCTGCACTGAACTTTCCATTTTTGAAGGAAGTCTCGCAGAATTGTTTCGTTTTTGACGTTGTCAAGTTCAAAAGTTGAGGAAGTCTCGCAGAATTGCTGCGTTTTTGATGTTGTCAAGTTCAAAAACTGAGGAAGTGTCGCAGAATTGCTGCGTTTTTGATGTTGTCAAGTTCAAAAATTGAGGAAGTGTCGCAGAACAGCTTTGTTTTCAAACTTGCAGATAGATAGATAGATCGATCGATCGATAGATAGATCGATAGATAGATCCATAGATCGATCGATAGATAGATAGATCGATAGATAGATAGATAGACAGATAGATAGACAACTGCATCTGCACTACACCACACTACAACTACAACTTCAACTACAACTGCAACTACACTACCACTACAACTACAACTTCAACTACACTTCAACTACACAAGAACTACAGCTACAACCACAACTACACGCACAACTACAACTTCCACTACAAGTACAACCTCAACTACAATTACTACAACTACAACTACAGTTGCAACTGTAGTTGTAGTAGTAGTAGTAGTCGTCGTCGTCGTAGTGGTAGTGGTAGTGGTAGTGGTAGTGGTAGTGGCAGTAGTAGTAGTAGTAGTAGTAGTAATAGTAGTAGTGCAGGGGTCAGGGGGAGGTGACCTTGATTCAGACGAAGCAAAAACGTGCAGCAAGAGAACAAAGGAACAAGCACAAGCCAAGAACAGAAACAAGTACAAACCAAGAACAGAAACAAGAACAACACCTTCCAATCAGACACACCGGCAAGCCGGCGGATTTCGACAAAATTGGAAGTTTTCTGTAAATGTTCACTTTAGCCAGTTCTTGGGTTACACCTTTTTGGTAACACAAAAGCACCATGCAACATGTCGAAACTGGCACTTGTGTCACTGTGGTAAATCCAAGAATGTATTGCAGAGCTTCGGGCCTTTCCCCATGCATGTTGTCTAATCTTACGGCAGGACCCTGTGGTTCGCCCGCCACTGGAAATAGCTTTGATGATGATGATGATTGCGATTTGGTGGGAGAATATATAACCTATATGTAAACCCTAAATGAAACCCCCATTGCGGTATGGTTAATCGTTCAATGGGGATGGCAGCTCTCTTGCAAGCCGCAATGCCATGCTCAATTTCATCTCTTTGTTTGAGTTCGTGAAAATTCCTTGGTTTTACCTTGTTGGGTTCGGGTTCTGTCCGTAATCTTAGTTATGGTGGGCGGTTTCAAAGATGCGTCTGCTTTTACATGAAAAACGTGTTTTATCGGAATTGAAATTGCCAACGAGGAAAGAATTATTTTTTAATAGTGAATTCTTCATTTCGTCAGTCATGTCATATGCCATAGACGCTTATGACATCACCACCCCTGTAGGCGCGCTTACGGGATGAGGATCTATATGTGGTCAAAACATGGAGCTGTATTGGAAGATGGTTATCAATTTATATACCCATTGCAAGCATCAATGGATTGGTTTCAGGGGAAAAAAAACAGGAAATTCACCATATTTCATAGGAAAATCCTGGGTTTCCGGTGAATCAAGATGTTCCCTAATTTGTCAAACCATTGAATCCTTGGATTCTTATGGACCCCTTTCCTGTCCCCCCATCGAGGTCACAACAGCTTGGCATTCCTGTGATTTGGTGCAAGCAGCCAGTCCACACACGTTGCTGTGGCTGGAGTGAACCCCAAGGTGAACCCCAATTCCCCATGGTTTTCCTATGGTTCACCATGTTTTTTTTTGGAAATGGTTATTTTCGGAAACCATTTTTGGAGATTGTTTGGACAAAACCATGCGATTGATGAATTGTATTATTTACCAACATTTGGGTTATTTGTGGGTAAAATGGTGGTTATTTGTTGGTTTTCTGTTGGAATTTTTCACCAGCAACTCACCAAGACTCACCTCGTCCGGAGGACCAGTTGAATTAAAAATTCTTGCAATGCCCAGATCCGCAAAAAAAACAGAATTGTCTCAAACTGTGGCCCTGCTACAATCATATATGTGTTCTTTCTTGTTATTTTCCATGTTTTTAATACTATTAGTTTTGATACGGTAGGGTAATTATACGGTATACCCTCTTTTTGGACAGCCCCAATGTTATTGTTCATTGGTGAAATCCATTTTTTTGATGGAAGTTTCCAAGACTTTGATGACGACACCCTATTACCGCCCCGTTGTGAATGACAAAAACTCGGGTGAAACCGGCATTTTGAATCATAAAAACCAGGGGACATCCTCATTTTGGATGGTTTGAATGGTAAAAACGTTGTTTTTAAGCATCCTTTCTTCCCATCCCCAGGCTTTTAGAGGTGATCTCCACTGCTGCCACGACGGTTGGTCCACCTGGTCCTGTTTGGGAGGAGGGCCAAACATCTGGCCTGGGGAAGCTTAAAGACGCGGCTCGGACGCGGCTCGAATTTGGGGGAGTTTGGCTGGAGACGTGTAATAATAGGAGCAGATCAATATTTTCACATAATATTATGGAATTGTAGATTATATATATATATACTGTTGTATTACAGTTGTATACATATAATATTTTATATTTCTATAGCCGAATACAGCAGCTGGTGAATGCTAGATTTATGCTGGCTTTAAGACAATTTGATGGATGCATATTTAGGAAGTCTTATGCTTCTTGGACCACATTTTTTCCTGCAAGGTAACGTCTCATAGGGTATCCAGTACTAGCCAACCTAGTCCCCTCATCATGAATTATGCTTGCAATTGTGAAAGCCATCAGTTTGTTGGCCCTAAATCACATTTGGGAATTATTTATTGTAGATAATCCAGATGTCATGCCCCGCCTGATCAACAAAGCCTCACCCCACAAGTTTCTATGTTTGATTGAACATATTTTGTATTCGACAGGTACCATCAACCCACCCCATTTCACCCCATTCATGAAGTTGTCCCCGAGATTTACTCGGTCCAGACATTACTTTGAACTATGACCCCCATAGATATCAGATTTACATGTCCCGTTTAGTCTACATGTCCCGTTTAGTCTACCCCCAAATTTGATGCCCTATCACTATCACGGTCTATCATCATTTTTGCCATGAAAATTCCAACTTTGGAAAAATTCTCCCACAGACAAATCCCAAATCGGATGTTTTTCTTTTTTCATGACTACTTTTCCATATTTTTTATCCCCATTTCTGATGTTCCACCTCTCCAAAATGGACACATCCTTCTGAAAATCCAGGTGAAGACCATGCTCTCTACCTTCGGAGCCATCTCCCGCACGGGATCCGGCGAGTTCGGTGACGCGTTGGCGGATGGCGTTGTGATGGACTGGGCACCCGGCATCTTTCGAGTGCTGCAAGCCGTGTGTCAGCTCTATGTGCCCTGGATGCTGGGGAAATCAGACATTGAAATTTCATGAAATTGGCCCTTAAGAGTTATAAATGGGATTGTAATTCCTGCAACTAAGGTTATATAATGTTATATATATATATTAAATATTATATATATATATATATCACTTGGGGGTGGTTTATGGCAGTGAATCCCACATTAGGCAATATGGTACTGGTACATATATCGAAAGATATATTGAACTAGTCAATGGAGGATCAACAAACAGAACTGGGGGATCAACCAGGGTGCAGCCGCATTCACAGCAGGCTGGCAGCTACTTCCCTGCTTTGAAGACTTGGGATTGATTTGACACTTTCTGTTTGTCCATTTTGCATGTACGAAGAACACATATTAACATTTATCAACCAGGGGGGGGCAATCAATCATTATAAAGTCATATACAATTTATTCCTGTCCCTTTCAACCTTCATGGGATATAAATATAACTTAATTTGATATAATTTTCGAGGGAACATATCACGTGATATTGCTAATAGATTCATACATTTATACATTCACTGTTCATCTACTTCTGAACTAGCCAGGTCTTACTACCCCAGTGATTAGATGTTAAATACATTAATATATTACCTGGTGATTTATAATATATTCTGGTTGGTGGTTTGGAACATTTGTTTTATGTTCCACAATATTTGGAATAATCATCCCAACTGGCTCTTTTTGATTTTTTAGAGGGGTTGAAACCACCAACCAGACCTATTATTCATTAGATCAGGTATTAATCACTATTAAACACTATTAACCACTATTAATCACTATTAACCATGGTTAAACCACCAACCAGATATATATATATATATAACCCCAGTGAACCAGGTCTTCGCAGCGAACAGCGACAACCAGCTGCTCAGAATCTTGGTACTGGTCCCGGGTCGCAGCGAGATCGAGCAAATGACCGGCCGCGTGATGGCTTCGGAGGAAGAGGACGAGTTGGCGAAACAGTTCTCAGGTCAGGGGCTTGGGCTTGGGCAACTTCAAGGACCAGAGTCTGACCAGACTATGGGAAACCACATGTTTTTTTGAGTCAAAATTCAAATATATGTTAAATTTGGCCTTTCCTAAAGCACCAAAAATGGGATGGATGGCAAACATGACCCAAAGATGTGAGCGGTTTGATCTCTTTCTCCACTTTTTGTCTTCGAACTTGAAAAGGGCAACTGTGATTCCTTTTCATCTCTACTGTAGCCGTTTCAGGCGGCATTGATCCTAAGTTGGCGGCGGCTATCCGCTCCATCCTCTACGAATTCCGCATGTTTGCAACCAAAGCAGCCAAGGTCACACCGTGTGTGGAAATGACCGGTGCCTAAAGTGGGTAAAGCCTGGAGAATGGCAGGTTTGAATCGTGATTTGATTCACTTTTGAGCCAAAAATGGTGGAGGACCAGCCTATTTCGTGCAAAACAAGCTGACATGTTTTTTCTACGGATCCATTTGGATGGTTGATGTAGAGTGGTACACGGATACTCATGGGCCCAAGGGTGATTTGTTAGCGATCAGCGATCAGCGACGCACCAGGCCTGCTTGGCCTTCAAGAGTTTTTGGAGCTTGCCCAATTCCTCGCAGTGGTTGAAGGAGACGGCCGCACACTTGCGTACAGTGCTGCTCGGTTGAGCTCGGAAATACCCAACATATCTATGGCAAATGTTCCTTTTTGCAGATGATTTATCAAATTTATCTGTAAAATACATGTTGATTTTCCATAGCATTCCATAGCTATGTTAGTTTATCAGTGAATCAGAGGGTAAATAAACACATAAAGATTCATCTGACCTATCCCCCGGAGTCTCGCACTGCCCTTTCCTAGGCGACCGCACGTTGCCGAGTTGATGCTGCGGGATATTTTCTTGCCACTGGTGAAAAGCCAGAATCATTTGAATGATCCTGCAGTTGCAAGCGTCACCGCTCGGTGATTTCAGATACCCTCTGGTAATTTCTCACAGTTTGCGAACGGGAAAATCACCGTTCTTTCAAGAGGTATATAAATCAACTAACTAAACGGCCATGTTCAATAGCTATGTAACAAATTACCAGAAGGTAGGTTCTTTTTGATCCGAAAAGTTTGCTCGGAATTGGAATAAATGTGGCACTGGGTTTCGTTTTTTTAAACACCTCCAAGTTGGGTAATTAAGAAAACACCCCATGTTTGTTCTGGATGATCACTAGGTCACTAGGCTATTCGGGTTTTGATCCATACCCACATTGACAAGCTCATTTTCTGGGGATGGCTTTCAAGACGTGTCACCAGGTGAGCAAAGTCTATATGCCGAGCCTCCTCTCTGCCAGCTCCTCCTTGTTGCGCGAGCTCTGGGGTTTGAAGCCATCGAAACTAGAGGCGAATGGAGTGACTGGACCAGATCCTTTGCCCAGATTTGAGAAACTGGAGCCTGCACATGCATCCTCTGTAGTGTCCTTCACGCGCACCTGTAGCCACTTGATCTCTGCTTTCATAGGTGTCTTGGTTGAGCACTGTCAATGTCAAGAACCTGCTTCTTGAATGTTCCCCTAACATAACCTTTCTTCTTTTTCGCAGATCAAAGATGCGGTGAAAACCAGGTACAGAGTTGCCACAGGCTGGTCAGTTGGAAGACCCTGAGAAGAATTTCTTGTCGAAAAAACGGCCGGCCCAGACTGCTGCGCCAAGTTCTGTGGTGTCCAATCCGCGAAAAAGGCGAAAGAATCGCAACAAGAACAGCTTCTCAGCACTGGACGCCTGGAATTGCCGTGTTTTTTCATTGGTTTCCCAAGAGGCAATTCACCATTTGGGAAACCCACTGGGATTTCTTTGTTTATATATATATATATTCGTTTAAAAAACAAACTAACTAAATATTATATTATACAAGTGTCTATTAGGCATGTATTTACTATACATCATTATCATGTACTATATAATATATGTAGTATGTTTATATAAGTAATGCAGAGTAATACATATACAATGAATATGTAATATAATTAAATATGCAAGACACATTGATGCCATATATAGATTTGTAGTATGTACATGGGAAATATTGTTATATATGTATAACATGTACTTTATATAAATATAGGTGTGTATATATATGTGTGTAATACATGTAGAAACACACACGCATACCACACGCTGTGGCATGCTATGGGATACAAGGTATGAAGTTTTTTTTGTTTTTTAATATATATATATACTGTAATACAATGTGAAAACATGTCATTCAATGTCATTTATTTTTTTGAATGTTATATTTTTGTTTCGCTGTGAAATACACTATACTATATTTTGAACAAACTTTGTATGATGTAGGATTAGTATTATCTAATTTGTAGTTCATTGTTTCTGATGACATGCGTTTTCTCTTAATAGTTTCAGATTCTTTGATGTGACTGGAAGAACTACAATTAAAAACAAGAAAACACAATATTTAACATGACTTACTGTGCACACATAATTCATGGAATATGACATTAACTTTTTGACATACATATGTATACCAAAATCTGAAATATAATGCCTAATTGGATTCCTACATAGATAGATTAGATGCTTATATACAAATCTATATAGCATCATTTCTTTATTTATTTGTATACATATATATATATACATATACATAATCAGGCATTGCAACATGCTCAATATTTTCCAATGCAATACAGTACTGCATAAGTTCCAACATAATTTGCAAAAACTGATATTGTTTATATGATTATGTACTGTTTTTTCTAATAATAATACTGATTGGTCTTTGAATACACTGTTTCATATATGACATGGAAACTACATTATGCTTACTACTAGTATATGATAAAGAAACTGTTTTTTTTAAGATACCGACTATGTAATAGATAAGATACAGCACGTTTTCTGTTCTAGAGTGTTCTTTGATAATTTTAATTCTGTTTTTCAATATGTGATTTATTTAATTATATATATATATTAGTTCTTTTTCAATTTAACTTACATTTTTTGACTTAAATCATATCGAATGTGAAATATTTTACTGTAATAGAAAACATTCATTTCTTTAATATATACAATATATATTTATATATTATATACATAGCTTACAATGTTCAATATAACGTGTTTATTTTAATTTGTACAATTTACCCAATTACCAAATATAATTTTATGTATATATATACATAATATATTTATATATATATAGATTATTGCCAAATTTTACAAATTAAAAGAAACACGTTAATGCATGTTAATATTATTCAGAACAATTGATACAAACTATTCAATCCATATACTGTAATATTTAATACATATATTTGGGTAAATTATAACGACCTCACTGTTCTCCCTCACTGGAATCATGATTAAGGGGAATCATCCCCAAATAGCCCAACACTTAGTGTATGATAATTTATTCAGATCCGTATATATATATATATATGGTTTCCATAATAAACCATTATAAAACCAGATCATTATAATTGTGATATATATATAATTATATATAGATGTATATATATATATATGTATATCTGGTTGGTGGTTTGGAACATTTTTTACGTTTTCCATATATTGGGAAAAATCATCCCAACTGACTAATATTTTTCAGAGGGGTTGAAACCACCAACCAGATGATATAGAGGTCTCCGGAGCCAATCCAAGGAATCCAAGGAGGATGAGCCAATTGCGGAAGCCGAGACTGGAGCCTCAAGCGGCTCAAGCGCCTCGGTGAGCCGTCGGCCTGCACTGGTCTTGGCCATGATGAGGGAGAAGACCTTGCGCGTTTCATGGCTTCGGAGGTTTTTTTTGGGTCCAAGTCCTTTGTAAACTATGGAACATATGGCATAGGGAAAAAAAACATGAAACAACCGATGGAAAATGGACAGTTAACCTATGGCCAGGTCCTTCAAACATTTTGATGTTCCGGAGGTCATTGGAAAATCGGAAAATCATGGGACACAAATAGCTGGAGGCCGCTGGGAAGATCATCCTGCCACCCGTGATGCCGTGATGCAATAAACCCAATGCCAATCAGCCAATCCCTTGGCCATTAACACAAAGTGGTGATATTTTTCCCATCCCCAGACCCATAGGATCCATGTATGGTATATATGGTGACATTTACCATCAATATACCCCAAATGTTAGCATATATACCATACATGGATCCTATGGGAAATGATAGGTTGATTGTTGGGTTTATCATATTCACCTTTGGTAATCAAACGTGGCAGAAATTGGGCGATTTTTCAGCAAAACATGTTTGATTACCAGAGGGTGCATGCATGCAAGTACGTTTATATAAATAATCGAAGTGAATGTATATGTATATACTGTATATATAATTATATTTAATTATATATATATTATATATATATTATATATATATATATATATATTATATATATATATATATATCATCCATGTTATTGGCCATTGGTTTGAGTAGGTGGGAAAACAATGATTCCCCTTTCATGTTTGGAGCTCTTCCATCACGGTTTTAAAGAGGCTGAAGTTGGTCCAAGAATCAAATTGCCTTTCCTTGAAAATGGCTGGATGTCAAAACTTGCTTGGTTGAAAGTTGTTCCGATAGGCTTATGTGATCCAAATTGACTGCATTGTTTTGCTGATGGCATGCAATTCCTATTTGTACCCAGGAGCCCGGAACTGGTCTATGTTTCAGGAAGATCCGCAGGTTCACTTCTTCCGTAACCAAACCACGCCATTGATCATCAATCTTCTAACGCATCCCAGAAAATATCCCCAGTCTCCCAGTATATCCCCATGATATATCCATATTTTTCACAGTCATGTAGTTATATCATGGGGATATACTGGGAGGCAATGCTTGTTAGGATGGGTATATATATATGGATATATCATGGGGATATACTGGGTATGTATATATATATATACATACAACCAATGGTTGTTGCTCTCCACTGACATCCCAGGAGGCGCTGCTGAACTTTCTGGCAGATCTTCTGCTGATCCCCGATCCTGAGACAGTGACGCGCGCCTTAGTGGGGCTAACGTCCTGGTCTGCGCAGCTCTGGAACATGGTCATCCACGGAGAGGTGCCGACAAAAAGTGGTGCAATGGGAAGAGATAGCCTCTGGTAAACATACAAAAAGCTATTGAAAATGGCCATTTATAGTTGATTTACCCATTAAAAATGGTGATTTTCCATAGTTATGTTAGTTTACCAGAGGGTGACCTGGGGATCTGTAAATGATTTATAACGGGTACAATGAATTTGAGATGAGTTGATTGCTGCTTCATCCACACGAATCGTGAATAGTAATTATAAACTTGATGATTTTAGTGAGGAAAGTTGGGGTAGTCCAGCTATAGCCAGGGTTACAACAGGGAGAGGCAAAGCTGTTACCCAACTGTTGATTGGTGAGAAAGGAAGGTTTAACCAGCAAATATGGGGATATCATTGATGTCAATATTTATTTTAGCACCAAAATTGTTTTTGACCACTAAAATAATAGCACAGTTTTCATGGCGGTATGAAGCTTCTTTTGGGTGATACTTTTGAGCCATAGATTTGTCACCTTGGCAACCCTGAGAGGATCTGTCAAGTTTGTCCTTGGGCACTGCTGAGAATCACCGCCCCGAAGTGGGAGAAATTCTTCACACCGCTGGCGATGTGCTACGGGTCATTCCCAAAGGCTTGCTGCAACCGCTTTGTCGCTTGGCGACGCGGCCGGTGTCCGAGCAGTTCACAGAGTGCCTGAAGGAAAGTTTGTTGGAAGGCAGGGCTTCTTTTTGTCCATTTGGAAAGGCAAGAATGCGTATTTACGTTGCCACGTAAGTACACAAGACATTCCACACGTCATGTCTAGAATCTAGTATCAAATATGTATATGCACATCATATACATTCATGTATATATACAGTATATATATATATGTGTATATCATATACATCAAAAAACATCACCCTGCAAAATACTCCTCGCTGGATGTGTCCTTTTCAAATATGTGGAAGTTGTGTGGGACTTTTGCCCCCAGGAAAACCGTAGACAAACCATAGAATGCCCATTGCTTGTCGTAGAAAGGGCATTGTTTGGTGTGGAACGGAGGTTGTTTTGCGTAGGCTTCGGGGTTGCAAAACAAGTTCGACCGGGCAAAATATATTTCTTATGAGAAGGCATGTGATACAAAATCCATCAAGAGATGGGCAAACTGGAGCAAATTCACAAAATACAAAAGAACCGCCTTTCCAACAAAAACATCCTTTGTTACAACGGACCCAATTATTACGTGCCTTGGATTTTGTTTGGAATATATGTATAATATTATTGATGTGTTCATAATCATATAGGATTCCACTTGGCTTGACAGTTTGCCTTGTGCTTTTGAGCTTCCCGTATTCCAGGCATGGTGCGACATCCTTGGAACAGTTTCTCAGCTTGCAGCTGGTTGGAAGCGACGCGCTGTCCATCCAGCCTGATCTGCGAGTTGACCTGTCCCATCTTCACAGCCCTGACCGCCTTGGTCAGGCTCTTCAAACTGCTGCCTGGCCAAATCACTTACTGGTTGGTGGTTTGGAACATTGTTTTTTCCATATATTGGGAATGTCATCATCCCAACGGACTTTCATATTTTTCAGAGGGGTAGGTATACCACCAACCAGCTTAGATTTCAAGGATGCTGAAGCTGCTGAAGGTGATATTTGCATATATATATATATTTGTCCTGTTGCTAAATCCACGACTTGGGGAATCCATAGGGCATATTTTTTTTGGTGGGGGCCTAAAGCAAATTCAAGTTTTGATTGGGAAACAAAGAGCATCCGCTCGAGCTATAGCTAGAAATCCTGCGTGGAAGTCGGCCGGAAGTCTGCGGAAGTATCATGGCTATCGCTATAGGCTCATTGGGTGTTTTGTTGGTTTCGAAAAGTATCTTTGGCTATGTTACGCTCTTGATTGTTCTGACAATGATGGCTCCAATTGAATTGTATATGTGTCGGGGGATGGAGTGAGAGTGCACATGGAACATGTCCCATTTTGAGGATTTCAAACATCACCAATGGTATTTGGTCGTGATTTGGTGTTGTGATGTTCAAATTTACCACGGTTTGTTTTTTCAAAATATTCTGTAAGCATAGCCTGCGCGTACTTCTCCTTGGTAATGAAAAAACATATGGATTCAGCTGTGCCTTTGATGGAAATCCTGGTTAAACCTTGGATGAGCACTTTGGTGCTTTGATCTTTTGCTATCAATTTGGAGGTTTTCTGAAATAGGGTACCCCTGGTTCTCATCCATGTATAGATGGATTTTCCATGACATAATCCATTCATTTTGGTGGTACTCCCATTTATGGAAAGCTCAATTTCGGAATCGGGATATATGTTGACTGACCAGCTAAAGATGTGTATGTTGTTCAGGGTATCCAGGATATCCAAAAATGGCAATGGAATGGCTCTCTGAATGGCTAGGCAATGTCGCAAGCTGGAGGTGTCAGCCGAAGCAGCCCAGCTCTACCTGACTCCAGCCTTAGTGGAGGACGACCTGGGCCCCTCTGGTAAACTAGTATATCTATGGACGATCCCCTACAAATGGAGATTTTAGGCTACATATAAAAAATATATATATTTATGTATAGATAGATATACAGAGTACTGTATATATGAATAATAATATATGATTAGTTATTATTTATGGGAATTTTCCAATGCCATAATTATGTTAGCCTACTGGAGGGTGCACAACTGATTTGATTTTTAGATACCAGTGGCTTATGACACGTTTTCCTTTTCGCTACAGAACGACAATGTTGGGGGAATGTTCAATATTCCATTTTCAAACACAGCCATGTACGGAATGGATCACAACTTGTTGCACCACTTTTTTTGGATCCATAAAAGCCCGCCATTATGTGAAGCTCGAAGTGTACCAAGGGTTCCTTTCGGTACCAGGATGAAGTGACCAATTGAATTTTCATGTTAATATAGTGGTATTCAACAAGCCTTGAGGATTCAAATCATGAATGTGAGTTGCCTTGGGAGAACTTCTACAGGAAATTTATGGAAGGGATTCATCATCAGTGGGCTTTCCCGCACCATTTCACTCAATATTAGGTCGCAACATGTTTTTTTTGTAATTAACCACACTGACTCTTGCGGCAGGGGAGCGCTGTTGCAGACAGGCTTCCTTATAATCCATTGCAGGCCTTGCGCGTTTTGGCGGAGATGCCAAACACCAGCCAAGATGATGTTGACACTTTGCTGGTGACCCTGCTGGACGACAAGAAGGTCCCTTTGTCTGATGCAAAGTGTCGGACTTATATCATTGCTGGTGGGGATACCCTTTGGTAAACATAGCTTTCATAGTTAAATCATCAATGGGCCAGATTCCATGGCCATGTTAATTTACTGGAGTGTATGGGATAAAAATCAGAATGTGAAATTCCCATCATCTCCTGTCCGAGCTCATTAAAAGGGACATGTACAGTCATAGCTGCAGCACTGCCAATACTTCTTTTTCATGGCAGGCATTCAGGAATTGGACATGAAGACCGTGGAATGAGGAGACAAAGCTAGGAATGCACTGAGCACTGCCACGCGTCTTTTGCATACGTGCCATGGTCATCAATCCCAAGGGAGGATTCCCCTCATGACCGTTCCCCATATTCTCATAGTTTGGATCATGGCACATATGTGTCCAAAAATGAGGCAATCCCAAATCTGATGGTTGATCACCATGTTTATTTTGTTACAGTATTTTGGGGGACACCATCGTATTACAGTAGTATAGTTCATTTTGGGGTAGACCCATTGCCAGGTACAGTATATTCTTTTTGGAGTGGGACCAGAACGATATAGCACGATATCCCAATCTTGTTTTGCAACGGACATTGTTTTTTGCACCAGATATCACAGTGTCACATGTTTTATTGGACATATCATGACATATCTGAATTTGTTGGACTTTATATTTCTTGCAATCTTGGTGAATAGTCCCGACAAGCAGCTTTGTCCCATATTTTCTGGGACCGCGGGATGTGTTTTGGTTGGAACTTATGTATTGTGTGTGTATGTGTTTGTTTTATCATCAGATTTCCTGTAAGTTTATCCAAGTTCCACCTTTTCGCGGCTTAACTCGTTGCGAAACCCCATTATCGCTATATTTCGTTCAATCACCATTTTCCATGTATTTACTCAATTTAGTTAAGTCGTCATTCTCGTAAGCTAAACTAGTGAAACCCCAATTTTCTTTAGCTAAATATATCGGAAATCCCCTAGAAATCCCCCGTTCTCCGCAGGGCAGCACCAAAGATTTCCAGCGAGGAGCCTTGCGCGCGCTGCTCTTCGAAGCTTCGACACTTGGACCAGAAAGGGAATATGGGACTGAAAAAACAACCAGAAAGGGGATTCAACCAATGAAAATTGTGGGTTTAGCTAATGAGAATTGGGGATTCAACCAATGAAAACTGTGGGTTCAGCTAATGAGAATAGGGGATTCAACCAATGAAAATTGTGGGTTTAGCTAATGAGAATTGGGGATTCAACCAATGAAAATTGTGCAACTAATGAGAATTGGGGATTCAACCAATGAACATTGAGGATTTAAGCAATGAGAATTAAGGATTCAACCAATCGAAGTAATTAGTGATTTACAGTAACAAATCAGCGATTGAAGCAATCAAAAAACAATCAGTTGACCAAGCAAACATATTGATTTAACTAGCCAAACTAGTGATTTACAGTACCCAACAAAAACATGCGATTTAATTTAGCTGGTGGAAAACTGTTATCTCGGTTTGTGCCGGGATGGATAGTATGCCCCAAATTTGGCACTGTTAATTGAGAAAATTATAATTTCACCACTTAGTTTTGGAGTATTTGTTCAGACAAATCCAAATCATTGGTTGCTGCGGGTTTCTTTTCGGTTGGAAAAGCCACAGGTTAGTACATGTTCCTTGCTCCAATGACGGACAGGCAATGTTGATTTGAAGAAAAATGGCGGGACCTCAATGATGCTCTGCTGTTTGAATGCTGAATTTCCCAACATTGAGATTGAAGAAGATACACGCCCAAAATGTTATCGTTGGGATGAGAAACCGGACAGCAGTGGTTGCTATTGAAACAAACCCAGACATGAGTAAACATATGTAAATTCACAGACCAAACACGGATTGCGAAAATAGAAGGAAAACCTCTGGTTCAGCGGTGCCACTCGGGAGATTCATCATGAAATTATGTGGCTTTAGGCACCCAGAGCTGATCTGCGGGAATCCCTACCATCGGCAGAGGAACCATCCCGTTTTGGGGTTTAGTTCGCTGGGAAAACATCGAACAAAATGGGAGATGTCCCAGCACACCATGGAGCTGATAACCCATTTTTGCGTAGCCAATTTTGATACTTCCTCCTGCCATCAATTTCATGCCTTTAAAAATCCGGTTTGGGACTTTAGTTACTGTAATCTTATCCACATAATATCACCAGAATCAAACAAAATCGAGGAAGTAGATGCTGAGACGATACCTACACATTGAGAATTGCTTAGTGCACACACACAGGCACGCGCTCAAAATACATGGAATTTTGGACACTGCCTGGATCATAGGGTGGGCATACCTCCCAGCTCTGAGGGCCCCTCTCAGGCATCAGCCATTCTTGGACAGACCAATGTGTGTTTGCCAAAGTCCCTTTTTTGGTTGGTTCAATTTAATCCCACTTTTGTCTTTTGGCCACTAAACTGCCATGTTAGCCGTTTCAATATATACCATCTTGGTTGGTTAAATAGTATGTTTTGCATATTTTTGTTGGTTAATCTCGCCACTCAGATTGGATACCAGTAGTACCGCACAAGGCGGTGGCGGAAGTTTCAAAAATAGGAAACCTATAGGAGAGGTTGATTGTTGTGAATCACGGATGGCAGAGCGAATCCACTGATGGACCGAAAGGTGGTTGAGGTCTCCTCTTTTTCTCTTTTTTTCTCTCTCTTTCTCTCTCTTTCCCTCTCTTTCTCTCTCTTTCTCTCTCTTTCCCTCTCTTTCTCTCTCTTTCTCTGACTACCTACCTACCTACCTACCGATCTATCTATGTATCTATCCATCTACCATCCATCCATCCATCCATCTATCTATCTATCTTTCCATCTGTCTGCCTATCTATCCATCTATCTATCTATCTATCCATCTATCTGTCTACCTACCTATCTATCTATCTCTCTCTCTCTCTCTGCCTGTCTGTCTATCTATCTGTCTATCTGCAAGCTTGAAAAGGAGGCTATTCTGCGAGAATTCCTCAGTTTTTGAACTTGTCAACATCAAAAAGGCAGCAATTCAGCGAGACTTCCTCGGTTTTTGCACTTGACAACGTCAAAAACGAAACAGCTCTGCGAGACTTCATCATTTTTCCCCACCTGCCAGGTGAGGGTTGTTAGATTTTATGTCAGTTGCCTCCTCCTCCTCCTCCTGCTCCTCCTCCTCCGCCTCCTCCTGCCTCGTCCTCCTCTCCTCCTCCTCCTCGTCCTCCTTGTCGTCCTCGTCGTCCTCGTCGTCCTCGTCCAACTGCGACCCGCGATCCACAGTGTTCTCTGCCGGACCTCAACCACGACCATCCACGCCCAGTGTTCCCTGCCGGACCTCAACCACGACCAGCCACGCCCAGTGTTCCCTGCCGGACCTCAACCACGACCATCCACGCCCAGTGTTCCCTGCCGGACCTCAACCGCGAGTATCCACGCCAAGTGTTCCCTGCCGGACCTCATGTAGGAAGATAAAATGTCAGATAGAGTGCCAGAAGATTTGCCAGGTAGAATGCCAGAAAATATGCCAGAAGATATGCCAGATAGAATGCCAGAAGATATGCCAGATAGAATGCCAGATAATATGCCAGAAGATATGCCAGATAGAATGCCAGAAGATATGCCAGAAGATATGCCAGAAGATATGTCTGCCAGATATGCCAGATAGAATGCCAGAAGATATGTCAGAATATATGCCAGAAGATATGCCAGATAGAATGCCAGATTGAATGCCAGAAGATATGTCAGATAGAATGCCAGAAGATATGCCAGATAGAATGCCAGAAGATTTGCCAGAATGCCAGAATGCCAGAAGATATGCCAGATAGAATGCCAGAAGATTTGCCAGATATGTCAGAATATATGCCAGAAGATATGTCAGATAGAATGCCAGAAGATAAGATATGCCAGATAGATATGCCAGAAGATTTGCCAGATGCCAGAATGCCAGAAGATATGCCAGATAGAATGCCAGAAGATTTGCCAGATAGAATGCCAGAAGATATGTCAGATAGAATGCCAGAAGATATGCCAGATAGAATGCCAAATAGAATGTCAGAAGATATGTCAGATAGAATGCCAGAAGATGTGCCAGTAAGAACATGTATAAATGTCATGGTGGGGATCACACGAAGTAAAGTAATCTAAAGTTGACAACATCAAAAACGAAGCAATTCCGGGAGACTTCCTTCAGAAATGGAAAGTTGAGTGCAGAGCTGACGGCCTCGTACCAATGCGTTTTGCTATTTTTCCAGTCCATCTGTCCAAACTACTGCGCCTGCCACGAAAAAGTGATGCCAGGTCATACGAAGTGCTGCACCTGTCACGCAAAATCATCTCAGCAAACCTGAAGATCTGATCCTCCAAAATGCAACTCCTCTCAGGAAATCAGTGCCCGGACCTCCTAGCATCTCTGATGAACATGTCTCTTGTACTGCGAAGTGCATCTTTGCAGATCCTCTTCAAATGTCCCACGCCTGCCATCGTTTTTGGAACTGCTACAAAACCCTCGCGTCTTGCAAAACGACCAAAGTGCTCCGAACCCCTCAGTGTTTTCCACTTTTGACTTTGAAATGTGCTTCGCGCCAGAACGGCGTGCACTGCACTTTTTCGACATCGCAACTTCTACAAGTACTCCGAAGCTGAGGTGTTTTGTACATTTTGACTTCGAAATGTGCTTCGCGCCACAACGGCGAACACTTTTTGGACATCTCAACTTCCAAAAGTGGTCCGAGCCTGCTGTGTTTTTAACAGTTTGACTTCGAAATGCGCTTCGCGCCACAACGGCGTGCAATTTTTCATCTCTCATCTGACGACATGGCTCCGCACCCGCCGCTTTAGCGAGCCTACTCTTCGACCCTCCGGAGCCACAAATCATTGGAAAAACACAGTGTTTCGCGACTTTCCCACCTTTTCGCGCACCTGGATCTTCTTTCTTCTGGGACTTTCTCTTTTTTGACCTTCTTTCTCCCTTCTCTGCTCTTCGCTGACTCTTCCCATCTCTGCTTTTCATCTGTCCATATTGTCGGAAGTTTGACTTCTAAACTTCCTTCGAAAATTACAGGTTTTGTTGCTCAACAGACGGCGGAGATATGATCCTTCGATCATTTTCCCACAGCTGAGCTTTTCGCATTTCTTAGGCCTGCCTTCTCAGACAGTCATGAACAAGATCCTATGGGAAAAGCGCTGCTGTCGGGCCTGGTACCTGCTAATCTCATCAGATCCCATCCCCAACATGTGGGTACATGGATGACTACCATTAATGGGATATTTAATGGGATATTAATGGGATAGTGATTAACTATAGATGTGGTACAGGAGGGGCTTTTATGTGCTTTTATTGCATCCTGATTCGGCTGGCATTTCTCGGCTCATCGCCGACCCGAATTCATGAGCAGATCCAATGCTTGACTGGGGTTTAGTTCAAGGGGGGGTATTTCACATGATCTGGGGAAGCGGCAAGGGATTACTTATCTTTGTGGAAGTTATCTTCAATGATATGGATCTTAAGATTGAGCAACCTGAAAATAAAGATGACATTTTATACTGACAGTGTAGTGTGCATATATGCATAGGTAAATATAATATGATTTTTGAGACAACCCCAATGTCTAGCCGAAATTTGTGGATTTGAGCACTTTTGAGGATTATGTCACCATGAACGAGCGGATTTCTCTGGTGATGAGCCATGTTGATCCATATTTTGGTGGGGTATCATGGAGTCTCCAAGATTTTGATCCACTGTTCCCGTGCCAGTAAAGTGAGAGTATACCATAGTATATAGCACCTCCCAAAACGACAGACAAGCAACATCTTTCGAAAATCGTGCTGAATTACACGAGGCCCAAGGTTTACATAAATGTGGAAAATCCTTTGTTTTCCGCAGAAAGTAAACTACAATTGGTTTGGTTTCCACATTGTTTTTGTGTGTTTACAGGAGGGTAAGTGTCCATCAAATGTCCGCTTCAACTATCACACACACACACATATATATATATACACACACACATAATTATCCATGAATCATCTAAATTTTCCCCATTTTGTCGGTTAAATCCTCATCCAGTGCCCATGAAATCCACATGAAATCTCCATTTTTCCGACGCATTCTTTGCAGCTGCGTGGCCCCATTTGGGGGCGGGACGCCCGGGCTCCGACCGGATTCTCCAGGTGTGGATTGGGCATTGAGAAATCCAAAATTGGATGTTGAGCCATGAAGATTAAGATCACTTGGGTTCTAGGTGTACATCTATATACAACAGTATAATACAATACGTAGAATATATAATATAGTATGATATATATATATATATATATGTGATATGATATATGCTATGATGTGATTTATGATATGATACGATATATAATAAAATATGGTGCATGATGCATGCTATGAACTGATTTTTGATATGGTATGATATGTAATAAAAATGACGTATTTTATTTTATATACGATACATGTCATCATATGATGTAAGATATGATATGATATTTTATAGAATATGATGAGCGATAATTTATTTATTATATATGTTATGAAATGATTTATGGTGTGATATGATGTTTGATATAGATGTGAGATATGATATTTGATATGTGATTTATATGATGTTTGATATCTGGTATATGATATAATTTGATATGTATTTTTTTTAAATATATACACACACTGGGGATCCAATCATTTCGTGAGAAAGGTATTGTAAGGCCAAAATCATGGTGAGAATGTGGTTAGGCTACCACGGATCATACTGTCAGGATGGGATTGGATCCGTAGGGATATACCTAGTGTGGATGGGCCAGCGAAATCCTGCACCACCGATGGTTGAAACCCAAACAAAATCATGGGATAAACCACCTATCCGCTGGTACAGGATTTCTTCCAGAATATATATATATATACCAGTAGTACCGCACAAGGCGGTGGCGGAAGTTTCAAAAATAGGAAACCTATAGGAGAGGTTGGTTGTTGTGAATCAGGGATGGCAGAGCGAAGCCACTGATGGAGTGAAAGGTGATTGATCTCTCTCACTATTTCTCTCTCTTTCTCTGACTATCTATCTATCTATCTGTCTGTCTGTCTATCTGTCTGTCTGTCTATCGATCTGTCTGTCTTTCTGTCTGTCTATCTGTCTAGCCATCTATCTATCTATCTCATCTACCCAGCTGGCCACTCTCTCTCTCTCTCTCTTTCATCCAATTACCTCTCTATCTATCTATCTATCTACCTACCTGTCTATCTCTCTCTCTCCCTTTCATCTGTCTATCTGTCTAGCTGTCTATCTGTGTTGCAGTGTCAGTCAGTGTAATGTAGTGTGGTGTAGTGTAATTACGTG